GGAACTCACCGGCCAACACGGCTGTAATGTCAGGAGCAGTTGAATGGACACTGGAGACGTTGAGATTCAGTGCGGCAAACCAACCAAGCCCTAGAAGGCTCGGGAAGTCGGCCTTTACTACAATCAAAGGCAACTTGCCGGAAAATGCCTCATAAGACACATGGAAAGTGTCACAGCCAACAGTTGGAATGGCCCGTCCCTGGTAATCTTTGAGAGACACGGGACAGGGTTTGAGGCGCCATTTAGAAGCATGGGGCAGCAGCCGGGAGAGCGTTGACCACAAAATCAGGGACCTGGAAGACCCGGTATTGACCTCCATCCGGCAGGCAGCGCCTTCCAAGGCGACGGTGAGGTAGATCTTGTTAATTGATGTTGTGGAAGTGGCGTGGTTCACTGTGATGTCACAGGGTTCCTCAAGACGGGATACCTCGTAGTATTCAGTGCGGCGCGCCACCTTCCTGCCCGGGCAACGGTTCTGCGAGTTCTTGGACGGAGCCATGGCGGCGGGAAGAGCCGCTTTACAGACCCACGACAGGTGGCCTCGCTTGCCGCAACGGCGGCAGATGGCAGTTTTAAAGCGACAGTCCGCCCTATTATGGTCGCCGCCACAGCCCAGGCAATTGCCAGAGGGGGATTTGGGCATAGGCGGTCCCCTCTTTCGCCGGTTCGTCTTAAGACGACTAACCGCCCCGTCCTCCTCAGATGACTCATCGGTGTCAGAAACTTCACAGTGGATGGAGGAGGGGTTTCCGGCAGCCACGATGCTGGTCTGAAAGCATTGGATTTCAGTGGCTGACTGGTCGGACATTTCCTCTGCCCTAGCCTTGTCCAGGGCTGTTTGAAGGGTGATGTCCGAACCGGCCAGCAATCGCTGTTGGAGCTTTAAATCTCTCACGCCGCACACTAACTGGTCCAGCAGCATTTTGTCCAGCTCGCGGAACTCGCAGTGCAGGGCAGCTGACCGTAGGGAGGCTATATAATTGTTGACAGATTCCCCCGCCTTCTGTGCCCTTTGCCAAAAGGCGTGGCGCTGCGCGATGCGGGATGGAGCCGGGGAGTAATGTTTTTTCAGTTTATCAAGCAACGTCTCCCATGGCACATCAAAAACCTGTTGAGGAGCTGCCAGGGCTCTGGCAGTTCCGAAAATGTTGTTCCCGCATGAGCTAGGGAAGTAGCCCCATTTCCGTGCACTTGACAGTCCTGTCAAGTCGTTCGCTTGGAGGAAACACTTGAACCTCTCTATATACGTGTCCCAAGTCTCCGACGCTGGCACGAATGGGGCAAATGCTGGCAAGAAGGTGGACATGGTGAAGAAATGCTGGAGTTGTGATCAAGTAAACGACGTTCCATCACTTGTAGCTTAAGGCGCCTGTAGCTGAGGTGGCTCAGCTCTGAGATCACGGCGCCACAGCCAACACCTCAGGACGATCCCACCTTCGTCACCGCTCGGCTTTGCATAACACAACTCTTTATTTAACAACCAGTCAACTTCTAACATGCACATAACAAAATGAACGGATGCCCGGCTGACAGCTGCTTAAATAGCAGTCTGTCAGTCGGAAGAAACCAATAGGAGAACTGAGTTTTTCCCGCGATGAGCCTGCTCGCGTCTTAACCAATTAGAGCAGGGCGGTAACAGTGATGTCAACGAGTTGGATGTAACTCCGAGGACTTAACACTTGGAGCAATGGATTTAAGATTATCCCCCTTTTCATGGTCTGATTATGCCCTTGTGTCTCAGAGATTCTTGTATACAACCCCCATCTGCAGGGAGGCAGGACCCATTTAGTTGATCTGCCTCCAGAAACTGATGGATCAAATTAAATTCCAAAAGGAACTGGGAAATATCCCAGAGGTGTTGCTCTATGGTCCTCCTGAAGTATTTGTGACAGCCTGGAATTTAAGGGTGGCTGCAGCTTTCAACAGGAGCATGCCTGTGCAGCCTCTCTTAATCCATTGCTACAGACCTTCCTATGGTTCATGGAGGACTTTGAAAAGGGTCATGAGACACTTAGAGACTGCTGGAAAAGATAAAAAATCGGACATGAGTTAGAGCTGCTATTAAGGCCTACATTATGGCAGTAAGAGTCGTGAAACAGTATTATTTCTCTGCTCTTTTTACATCCTCAGGATATTGTCCTGTGGCCCTGTTCTGGATCATCTGATCTCTCCTGGTCAAGGGGGCTTGGGTAATTATTTTGCCATGCCAAGATATTTGATGGACAAAGTCATTTGGATTCATTCCCAGTTGGATCCCATGAATGGAGCTGATCCAAGTGAGATGCCTAGGGAGAGTTCTTGCCTGACTATCTGGGAAAGGTTTGACCCGGTTGGACCTGAGGAAGTGGACAGTGTTCTCAATGCCATTATTGCCACCCTCTGGCACTTAGATCCTTGTCCCTCCTGATTGCTGAATGCCTCTAGGATGGTGACTAGCAGATGGGTCCAGGCAGTGATTAACACATCACTAGAAGAGGAAACATTTCCAGATGCTTCTAAGGAATCCCTGGTTCACTCCCTCCTTAAAAAACAGCATTAGATCCCACCTGCCTGGATAACTTTTGTCCAGTTCCCAAAATCCCCTTTCTAGGATAGGTTGTGGAAAAGATGGTGACCTGGCAGCTTTAGAAAGACCTGGATAAAACAGATTATCTGGACCTCTTTCAGTCAGAATACAGGCCTGGTTATGGAATGAAAATGGCATTGGGTCATGCTTGTAGATGATCTTTGGTGAGAGCGGGATGACCATCCTTGTTCTCCTTGACTATCCAAATTGCTCCATATCATTCCTTAGCATTTAGTAGACAAAATAGGCCTTTTAGACTTCAACACTCCTTTGTGCAACTGAATTTTTGATTTTCTCACTATTAGCCCCCAGCTGGGAGTAATATTTCTAACACTAAGTTCTTCAGCACAGGTTCTCAATAGAGCTGTGTCCTAAGTCTGCTCTATGTGTGTATGGTTATATATTTATTTTTCTTTTGAGAGTAGGCATCAGAATTTTGATTTTTTTAATTTGTGTCAGTGTGTTCACAGAAAAAGGTGACAATAAATTTCTCTTCTCTTTGCTTCTCTTCTCTACTCTTCACTTCACTTCTCATCTATTATGTTATGTTATTATATTGTGTATTGTATTGTATTGTATTATTATTATACATATATATTATATATTATCTCTCTTATCATCATCTTATCTTTCAGTAGCTTTCATTGACCATAGTATACTTTTGGCTAGGCTAGGAGAGCTGGGGTTGGGTGGCACAATCTTGCGCTGGTTTAGCTCCTTTCTCCAAGGCTGGTCCCAATTATTATTAATAGGGATGAGAGATCCAGTCCTCAGACTCTATTTTGTGCCTTGCCTCAGGGCCTGGTACTCTCTCCAATTCCTTTTTAACATCTACATGAAGCCAGTTGGTGAGATCATCCATCATCATGGGTTGGTGGGTTGAGTTGTCATCAGTATGCTGATAATACTCAGTTCTGTATCTGTATGTTATGACCCAATAACAATAGCAATGGCACTTAGGCTTATATACTGCTTTACAGTGCTTTACAGCCCTTTCTAAGTCCAAGTGATGCAGTTGCTGTTTCTCATGCCTGGAGACTGTGGGGGCCTGGATGGGGGAATGACAGGCATTGACTGAACTCTGGCAAGACCAAATAACTTTGGGTGCATGGGGGCTCGAGATCTGTGACTTTGTCATCTTTAATTCTGGATGGATGGTACTGCCCCAGACAGATCTAGTCTGCAATTTGGGGATTCTTCTGGACTCGTGACTCTTGCTCAAAGAGCAGCTGGCAATCATGGCTTAGAGACCCTTTACATAACTGGATTGTGTACCAGTTAAGACCTTTCCTGGATCAGGAGTTCCTGTGCTTAGTCATCTCACAACTGAACTATCCATGTTGTGGATATTCCAACTACTGTATTCCACCTGGTGGGGTGTAGAAGTGTCTTCTCTGTTACCACACTTGCCCTCTGGAACATCTTGCCCCCCCTCCCCAGATTAAGGTTGGCCCCAACTCTCCTGACCTTCTGTAAGAGCTCTGGCTCTGCTAGTAGGCCTGAGACTTCTTTGTGGGTAACATCACAGTGGAGGCAATTGATTGACTAACAGCAGATCCCATCACCACCATGCTATCCTCATCCCACCCTTCCCATCTTTTAATCGGACTGCTGTGCTTAGCTGTGTGTTGTTTCTTATTTGTGTTCTTATCTTGCTTCCACCTTAACAACAAACTAGCATATGAAGCCTTCAGCTACCACCCTCAGGTCATCAGTGTTAGGGCTGGTCTACTCTGCAACAGAATACTATGCCTTTATGGCTTATCAGCTGCCATATTAATAAGACTCAATGACACCATGGGGATTATAAGTGGATATATTAAAATCACCCCAACTTGCTGGCTTCCTTTTCTGAACCATTTAGCATCACTAGCTTTACAAAGACAAAATGCACTAGTAAGAGAATACCAAAAAATTGTGAACTACTCACTCCTACCAGTACATGCCATCTTTCCTCATTTTTTAGCCAGAAGAAACCAGGAAACCCACACTGGCATCCATATTAACATCTGCCCAACAACTTTAATATCAATTCTCAATGGAAAGCCAAATGGTCACTGAACTCCCAGACATAGGAAGCCATATAAATGTTCCCACAAAAAGGTGCTATGCTTTGCACTATCATATCAACATTGGACAATCCTGAATAGGATTGACACCTGACAAATTGTTTGCCAGTACTCTCTGTATAAATGGGGCATAGTATACTCGCTTTGGTGTGACTACAGGGTCCCACATCAAACTGTAAATCACATTGTGACCAGCTGTAATCTGAGAGCATATACGATCTAGTACCTGAATTTTTTAACATAAAAAATGCTAGGCTTTAGTGATTAGGTGGCCTAGACATTGATATTTGAACATAGATCTTTTTAACATTTATATTTTATTGTGCTTTACTAAGTGCAATGATAATATATATTGCTGGTCCAGGTATGCCATATGTGTTTTTATTTATTTTAATATTGTAAGATGCCAAGAGCTACCCAAATGGGTTGCCAATAACTTTTATAAATATAACATAACATAAATAAAAATAAAATGAGTTACAGATTATCCGGAAAATGAGGTTCTTGGTTAGTTCATCTGGGATGAGAAATGCCAATAGTTTGTTCAACATTGCTTCAAAGAGAACACAGTCATCACTGTGTGGTAAAAAATTAACTGAAGGGGGAGCAGAGGTAGTTTGTTCCTGATGCTCACTATGTGTCTCATGAGACAATGTTTTATCAGGCAAGACTTCATTAAAAGTTTTTGAGTTATCAGTAGGACTTCCGGAAATTAAGGTGCGCAGCTTTTCTATTTTGGCCACTAACTCTTGAGCCTCCTCTTCACTTCCCACTGTTTTGTGAGCCTCCTGTAGAAGCTTGTCTAATGTATCCAGGTTCTTCATCAGGTTTTCAACAGCTCGCTTCTTATTCACAAATTCATCAAGAATTAATTTTCTTAAGAGTGCAATTAGTTTCCTGGTTTCCAGTTCTTTCATTATTTTATCTTGCGTAGTTGCCCAAAGTTCCTCTTCCTCTGCTCAGAAAGAAGAAAAAAGAGGGGAAAAAGAAACAGGTAAGCAAATGCTATGAGTGGAACAGGTAACTGAGTTTGCTGGATATTAATCAGTTTATTCAATTAGAATTAGATGTGGTTTACAGTACAATCTGGTATCCATTTACTAATTGAATTAGTTCCAATTACTCTTAAGCAGACATGTATCAGATTACACAATGGATGTTACATAATCAGTACATTTGGATGTTTAGATGATATCATTCTCCATGCAAAGAGAAGATGCTAAAAATTTGGGTTGTTTGGCTGACACAGGAATTCGTGGGGACAATCTACTAGCTATCCATGGTGGAATTTTAATTAAGAAAGAAAGTGGGTTTGCCACAGATAATATGTGGTCATTACATAAATCATAAATTTCATCCATGGATTATACCAGCTTTCTCCAACATGGAAACTATAGATCATAGAATTCCTAGCTAAAGGCATAATCAATTGTCCCTAGAAAAGAGACATCATCAATGCTCCTGTGAAAGGAAGAAAAGTAGCTCAGACTTCTCTAGGAAAAAAAATCAGTGAGTGTTGGTGATGGCTGCCACAAAGCTGAGACAACCAAAGAACAACTAAGACTGATGCTGGAGCGAAGTAGGTGAACAGTGACTGAAACTGGGGGAGAAGATTCCCTTTCTTCTTCTTCTTCACATAGGAATGAATGAGAAGATATGAACCTGAAAACAATATCGAGAAATTATGAGCACTAGGCAAGAAAGTTAAGGAGTTAGGAGCTCAAGTGGTGTTTTCATCTGTACTTCCAATGAGGGAAAAAAGAATGTTAGAAATGAAACATTGGTTTAAGAATTGGTACTGCCAAGAGAACTTTGGATTCCTAGACCACAGTCTGCATTATCTACATGAAGGGATTTTGCCATGGGATGGGCTGCACCTCACAAGAACTGGGAAGAACTGGGAAAACAATTGGCTCATATTATCAGAAGGACTTTAAACCAAAATTGAGGGGAAAGAGTGACCAGTCTTCAGGATCTTTAGGATTATTCCCAAGCATAAACCGCAAGACAAGCAATCAAACAATGAGGTAGCGGGTAATGGGAAAGAAGAAAATCTCAGATATAAATTAGGAGATATAGGATGCATACCCAAGGTCAGCCATAAAGGACTCAAATGCCTATACATCAATGCTCAAAGTTTGGGGAACAAACAAGGCAAATTTGAAGTAGTAGTACATTTCCAAAACTTGGGGTGGCATGAAATTCACAATTGGAATGTACTGGTGAAGGATACAAAATGTTCAAAAGAAACAGACCTAACAAAAGAGGAAATGGAGTTGCATTATACATAAGAGATCACTACATCTCTTCAGAAATGCACACAACCAAGAATGGAAGCCTCCTAGAATGCAAATGGGTCAATAAAAAAGAATGACATTGCCATAGGTGTATATATACCTATAAAAGAGCTGACTTTAACAAATTTAGAGTTTGGGAAGGATTCTATGAACAAAAATTTTAAAGGGGAAAGCAACTCAATAAGCTTGGGAAACTCTGAAAAATATGATTATAAAAAGCCCAGTCAAGCTCAATATCACTGAAAAAGAAAACAAGAAATCCAAGAAGAAACCAGCATGGTTTCACAAAGAAACTGTTTATGTTTATCCTTGATAAACTGAAAAATAAAAAGGATAAATACAAAAAATACAACAAATGGAAAGAAAGACACATAACTTAGGCAGAAAACCAACACACAGAATATGATAAGGCAGTAGAGAGAAAACAGAGTTACTTACTTCATTATTTGCATCTGTCTTTGTGCAAAAAGATAATATATTCCAATTTACCAAAAACTTGGAATACGAATTAAAATAAGCAAGAAAATGGTAAGAGAACACCTGTCCTCTCTAGAAGAGTTCAAATCACCAGGACTTGACTGGTTGCATCATAGAGTTCTGTAGGGTCTGGCAGATATGATCTCAAAACCATTGAGTCATATATTTCAAACATCTTGGAGCACTGGGGAACTATCAGAGGACTGAAAAAACTGATGTGATTCCCATATTTAAAAAAAAAAAAAGATCCAGGAAACTGCCAACCAATCAATCTGACATCAATACCTGGAAAGATCTTGGAAAAGATAAGCAAGCAACAGATCTTCAAACACCTATAAACAAGCAAAGTTATAACCAGAAACCAACACGTGTTTGTCAAAAACAGATCATGCAAAACACATCTAATTTAATTCTTTGACAAAGTAACTATATAGTGGACCAGCAAAATGTAGTAGACATAACATACTTGAATTTCAGAAAAGCATTTGACAATTTATTTCTTGGTAAACTAAAAAAATGTGGGATACAGAGTATCAGATGAATTTATAACTGTTTGACATACTGCACTCAACGTGTAGTCCTTAATGGAACTATATGGAGAGTGGTACGCAGTGGGTACCCCAAGGTTCTGTTTTAGTACCAATACTCTTCAATATTTTCTTCAATATTTTCATAAATGATTTAGATGAGGTAATAGAAGGGGAACCTATCAAATTTGCAGATGACACTAAACTGGCAGAGATAGCCAACACCCCAGAAAATAGGCTCAAAATTCAGATGGCATTTGACAGACTTGAACAGTGGGCCCTATCTAACAAAATGAAATTCAAAGTAGAGAAAAGTAAGGTTTTACACTTAGGCAGAAAAATTAAATGTACAGGTAAGGTTAAGTGAAATCTGGCTCAATAACAATAGCTGTGAGAGGGATCTTGGAGTCCTAGTGAACAATTACTTAAATATGAGCCAGCAGTGTGTGACAGCCATCAAAAAAGCCAATCCAATCCTAGGTTGTATTAAAGAGGGATATAATCAAGGTCACGTTAAGTAATAGTACCACTTTATAAAGTCTTAGTAAGACCACACTTAGAATATTGTATCCAGTTTTGGTCACTATATCAAAAAAAAAAAAAAAGATGTTGAGATTCTGGAAAGAGTACAGAAAGGAGCAACAAAGTAACTAGAGGGCTGGAGGCTAAAATAAATATAGAACAGTTGCAGGAATTGGGTATGTCTAGTCTATAGGTAGTCCACTAATTACAAATGTAATGGAGCCTGCCAATTACATTGGTAACTGGAAGATACGTTGGAGTGAATCACGTAAAATAAACATGAAACCTCCTGGCTTTTCCCCACAAATGTGCTGGTCATTAAGTGCGCATGTGGTATCTCAGGGTGGGAAGGCCATGGTGGGCCTAGCTATGGAACAGGCTACCTACTTAAGATCATCCAAGGTCTCCCCCAAATCACTGAGATACCTCATGCAATTGCTCCCCCCTCCCATCTTGCCACACCGGGTCATTTATCTTGCAAAGATCTAGTGAGCTCTCTCTTCCCCAGCCTCTCTGCGCACAAGATCATGGTCCCCAGAAGCTTCCAGACTTGGCATTCAAAATGTTTGCAAGTCAATGGGACGCTTTGAGGCAGTGCAATTTCGCTGCTTCAAAACATCCCGTCGGCTTGCAAACATTTTGCAGAGATTGGAAGCTTCTGGAGACCATGCAAAATGTTAGCAAGCTGACCAGACACATTCAGTCAGAGAAACCATATTGCCTCAAACCGTTCCATTGGCTTGCAAATGTTTTGCATGGAGAATGGAAGCTTCTGGGGGCTTTGATCTCATGGCCTGAAATCCCATGATAGCATGGTCAGTGGTGGGTTGCTACCAGTTCGCCCCAGATCAGGCGAACTAGTGGCGGTAGCAGGAGGCTCCACTCATCTGCCTCTCTGGACATCTCTGTGCATGTGCAGAAGCTTCTCTGCATGCGCGCCCATGAGCAAACCAGCCGAAATTGAAACCCAGTACTGAGCATGGTGCCCAGAAACTTCCAGTCTCAACTCAAAATGTTTGCAAGTTGATGAGACACTTTGAGGCACTTCTCAAAGAAACCATGGCAGAGAGAAGGCAGATCTTTGCATGGTAAGGGAGTCTGGTGCGGCAAGATGGGAAGGGGAAGCAATTGTGAGAACTGAGGCAGATAAGCAAGGTGAATGTTACAATGCCTCTGCGGTCATTGTAAGGGTGAACGACTCTTTCTTAATTAACATTCTAATATTATATTAAAAAGAATCATAAGTCTCAAAACAGGAAAGAGTCTAGTAAGTAAGTAGTTAGGGTAGCTCTTTTCTTAAATAGATGGTGGTTCAAGACGTATGATCAAAAATGTATTATAGAAGAAAAGGGGAGTTGTTGTTTACAATCGGAGAGGCCTAGTGAAACGTCAAGTATATGCAGATACAGAGGGTAGGATACTGATGTTAGAGATTAGTATTGGCCAAAAAATAGTATTGTTAGTAAATATATATGCCCCTAATGTTAACCAAATGGGTTTCTTTAAATATTTGCATAAGAAAATTAATGAATTAAATTACGAGCATGTATGCATAGTAGGTGACTTCAACGTGATTGCTGATACTTCAATTGATTATGATCCAGGAAGGGGTTCTCCTAAATATAAAAAAGGGCATAGGAAGGTACTCCCCAAAACATGGGATAACCTAAGAACAGAAATAGGGTTAAGAGATGTCTGGCGAGACTTCCATCCTATGCAAAAGCACTTTACATATTTCTCCCCCAGGCATAGATCATAGTCTAGAATAGATATGGTCTGGTCAACATCAGATTTGAAAGAAGGCATAAATTTGGTTGAAATAGGGATGAATATATGGGCAGACCACTATCCCCTGGTAATAAAATGGAAGGGGTCCACTAGAAGAGCGAGATGATCTATGAGGGCTGAGATCATGAAAGATGAAGGATTTATAAATATGATTAAAAAAGAATTAGATCATTTTTTTACCGAAAACAAGAGAGAAGATACTTCCCTTCAAAATATTTGGGATACTGTCAAAGCAGTACTTAGGGGATTGGTAATAAAATATACAGCTACCAAATGGAAAAAGGAGAAGGCCAAACGGATTGAGTTAATGGCTGAATTGGAGAAAGCTGAAGGAGAGCTGCGTT